ACACTCACTACGTCACTACAAAGTGAGCCAAGCGTGTCGTCAATATAGCAATTAAATAGTGATTATTTTTGTAATCTCCAAATACAAATTACACAAATATGCAATTGTAACATTAAAATATAAACAATAATTTTGAATAAACCAACTATTCATATTCTTAAGGTATGTTACATAATAATTAGAATATCTTTGAGCAACATTTTCATACGCCATGATCAAGGTAACAAAATTATACATAGGTACGAGTACTGTATACGCTCTCCTTTGTGCAAAGGCTATGTAGTTGTACACTGATGACTGAGGAATATTACAAGCATACGTTGCTAACTAGTTGCAATGTGGTTTAACGTATTGTTCATTATTCAATAGTGTACTAACGTTTTGTTTTGTATAGTCTGTTGAAATCTACATTGTTATTTAACACTTTCTTTGATGTATAGTTGTTACAGACATGTAATACAGTTATATAGTATATTAGTGACTCGCCCTCGCTCCGCTCGAGTTCGTCCCTAGTTACGTTTTAACGTTTAGTATAGATTTCTCAGAGATGATTTATATTTTCGCAGTAGAAAATATCCTATATGTTGACTCGGATAACCAGCTATCTTCTTCTTCTTCTCCCTGCCCATTTCCCAATCACTTGGGGTCGGCGCAGCACATCTTCTGTACTACTGACAGGTTTTGACAAAAGTTTTACGACCGGCCGCCTGCCTAACGTCAACCCTCCTTGGGAAAACGAGCTATCATCATACCAAATTCATTCATATCATTCATTCATATCATCATCAAAGTCCCTTCGGTAGTTTTCCGTAATATGGTCACAGACAGACAGACAGACAAAAATTCTAAAAACTTAGAATTCGGTCTCTGTATCGATAATACTTATTATGTCTTTTTCAATTCAAAAAATATTTAATGTACAGATACAGCTTAGTTACAATTTTATTATATGTATAGATAGATTTACTCTTCAATAATACGATGGAAAGTGGAGACCGGTGTCAAATGAAAGTTTGTAGGTACTATGTATATGGTTAGTACGGACACAAAAAACGGCATGTAATATGTTCCATTTTAATAGCTAAACATGATTCTCACAAGATAAAAATCTCTTTGTTGTCTTAACTTAGTTATCTCTTTGCTAAAATGGGGAAAAAATATTGATAACAATCCAATAATTTGATAACCATCTAGCTGATATCTTTAATGGCTTCTAGTGAAACCTTAAACTTATGGCTCATTTATAATTATTTAATTAATATTAAAAAAAAACTATAATTTCTTTTATACATAAATTATTTTGAACTTTAATTATGCCACCCGTGTTTTTCATTACCGTTCTCGTCACTTTACTAGCAAAATTCTTAAGTAAATCTTTTGATCAATCTCATTAAACTGACGACACTTTGTTAACTTTAACAAAGTTTGCTATGTTTTTAAAAACTTCATCCCCTTGGGATAAGGTTTAAGGATAAATAACGGGATTAAACCCTCCCTTTGCCCAGATTAAATCTGTAAACGGTATTTTACGTTGGCATTTTCCAGCGTAGTGCGATAAAGAATAGTATAAGAAATTAGAAGCATAATTAACGTTGGTATATTATTGCCTCTATGTATATTATATACTTGAATATTATATACTTGTATATACGTTATATACGTGTTTTGTTCATGTAAATTAATTATAAAGAAAAACATAATTATACAATTACTAAATGTAAAGCTCTTTAAAGCTCATTTACCCAAAAAGTTAAAGAAAAATTCAATTACATACGTAATATTATGTAATGATACTCTTATATAGTACATACTATGTATACAAATAATTGTATATAATCTAACAATAATAGTATAGCAAATTAAAGAAAAACACGCCTTTACAAAGGTATATGAAATTCCTTAAATTATCAATTTTTAATTTGAGATATATTATAATTATTTATTTTAGCTAAAAGTGTTTTCTTCTATATTTCTGAATGAAAACGTATTAAAGCAGAATAGTTTAAAGGCACCGCTGCGTCTCTACTTGTTGATTAAATTACCTCTCAAGCGTATATATCAAAGAAATCAATTTCATCAAAGATATCGGATCAATGAATGAGAGGACAAAAGACGGACAATAGGAAATCTATGAGGCACAAGTTATTCACATTCATTGAGTTATTGAAGCATGATGAGATATCATCTAATGATAGTAAAATAAATTACAAGACTATCGTTCCGCCCTTGTTTCATTTGGTTCTTTTAATTAAACGTATTGAAATTATGATTGCTTCAAATAAATTGATTTTCCTTTTTCTCCCTATGATAGACTCTTACGCTAGTAGGAGTCTATGATATTAGTATAACTAACTTTAAAATTTTACTAATATTATAAATGTTAAAGTTTAGACGTTTGGATGTTTGTTACTCAATCACGCCAGAATGGCTGAACGGATCTGAATGAATTTGACACAGAGATAGAAAATACAATACTGACCAATTAAATTCTATATTCTATAAAACAAGTATCATAACAAAGCGACAGATATCCAGAATTCCATAAGCCGACATAGGATGTAAAGTAAAATCTACATATTACCAAAAATCGCTCGACAAAGCATTTTTCACCTTTTATCGATGACAGGTGTAAAAGTATTGTATGGATTTTCTTATATTATTTTCGAAAATATTGTAGTTCATATTGTTGTCATTGTTTATATTTTGTATTAACTGTTTTTAATACTCACTTTCCCTTGGTTTTACTTGTCTGGTTTGTTTATATACTATAGCAAAATTATGTTAGTTAAATAGGGAAAACAAAATAACCTTCACCTTTGCACGTGGTGGCTACGACGGAAGTCGTGAGTTTGAATTCCGTACAGGGAAATATTTTGTCATCTTCTTAAAATTTGAAACAAAACGAATCTTTTGATTATCGCCACCCAATATATACCTACTGGTGAAAATATTCCTACATTACGCTATTTATATCTCTAATTAATAAAAAAAACATTATTTAGTTAATTATATTTGTTAACTAAAAACGTAGCAAATAAAACTTTAAAATATGCTTTTCCATTTTAATTTCAAAGAAGCGCAACTCAAATACGCACACTACACAGTCTGAATGTTAAGTCAATAAACTTGGACGTTATGTTTTAGTTCGGGAGTGACCACCGTACAATTTCGTCCCCCAACCCCGGACAGATTTCTTTTGAAGTAGACTTCTACCAAATTTGGCACGAGACCCGTTTGTTCGTATTTGCTTTGAAGAAAGATGAACAACGTTTTTTCATATTCTGCTTCGGTTTTCTATTTCTGACGAAAAACTTATTGGCTTAAAGGAAATGGAGTTTTAGATCTAATTTAAACTTTGATTTTACCATTGTTTTTTAATCTTTTATTAGTAAGAATATTATGTAGGTTTTAGAAGATTTTTGTATGGTTAAGTTTTTAAATTTAAAGGTAAGTTAGCATGTTAATAATCTGTCGAAATAAACTATCGCGCTAACATACGATTAGAGTTCAACTAACGATTATATTGTAAAGTCTAAAATAAAATAGTATTTTGGTATAAAAATAATGTAAATCACAAACCTAAATATAGGCTCATATTTCAAGCCTCAATTGATATATTTAACTTTCACCGCCGCCTGTTGTTTCACGTATGTAGTAATTTGATAGCCCAATATAGATTCAAACGTAGAATAACTTTATATAAGAGAAAGAATTATTAAAATCGGCTTTGTAGTTCAATAGATTACCCTTACATACATACAAATAAAAATAAAATATACCTATATAAGAAACCGATTTTATTTGTATGGTATTTCTAAAAATAAATTGAGAATTCATTTTCACAAGGAAAAGTAATATTTTCTTACTCCTAAGAGGACGTCTCGATAGAAAGCCAATAAACATGAAAATAAAATGTAATAAAATTCAGTATCAGTAGAAAGCACGCGACTTGAGGATAACGCCTCAATATTTACGACAGACCCGAAAGGCTTCAATATAAGTGATAAAATAAGAGCTAAATAAAGAAACTTGTCTTCTATTACCTCATGCTTATATAAATGTTGAATTCTCAATGATACACGTCGTAAAAGCTTTTTAACTCAGTTCGTCAGTGCAAGAACAGCCTAACTGAACAGTTAGAACAGTTTTACTTATATAGCCATTTTCTCCAAAGTAAGTTGTGGGTTAGGATAATATACGCTGACGGTCTCAGTTGCAAGTTTTTGATACACTATGATTCTTCTTACCGAATAACATGGTTACAACAACTTACCTTTATATTTTATAATATTTTTATAATTTTTTTCAGACATTGCTATCTTTTGGCAAATTTTATTACCATCAGTAGCTTATGCGTCGCTCCAAGTTATGAGCTATGTGAACTTTTCATCCAAATCCACTTAGCCGTTTCAGCGTGAACAATACCAATTGCGACAATCATTATCAAAAATGCACACTGACATACAAACTTTCGTGTACATGTATTCAGCCCTTTTTAATGTCCCACTGCTGGGCAAGGACCTACCTTCAATACGAGGGGTATCAGGCCAGAGTCCACCACGCTGGCCAAGTGCGGATTGGCGGACTTCACATGTCTTTCGAAAACTTGCTAGACTCTCTCAGACATCCTCACGATATTTAACTCCACCGTTATACAAGTGGTAATCACGTTGGGAATGATTTGTACATAAAAATATCACAGGTGCGAGATCCGTGATTTGAACCCGCTTCACTCGGTTTCTCAAGCGAGCGCTTTTCCACTGGACTACCACAGACTTAATTCACTTCGCATACATAATAGTAGTGTAATATGACATTTTTATATAGTAAAATATCTTACAATAAATACGAATACACTTAATTCTACTTTGTTGCTTATTTCGAGACTCCATTTTGCACTAAAAGAACTAAGTAGTGTCGACAGTTTCATCGCCAATATGTTACATGGGAACAGAGACAAAATACTCTAGGAAATTACAAACTTATTTCTTTTGTCACAGGCGGAGTTAGTAGCTGTGGAGGGGAAAGAAATAGAAACACATTACGTGCTAGCTCGTGAACGAATACGTCGATGGAACTCAACGTCTAAATGCTACCTACTAGTTGAAAACTTGCCAACACCTCTTCAGGTATACGCTATATTATAAGTTGTTAGGAAATTCGATTAAAAATTCCATTTAAATTTGCTATATTATTAAATTCTTTGTTAAAATCTCAATTGTATTCTTGTCATCACTACAGATTCTTAATAAAACGTTGCTTATGTTTTATTAAGAATCTGTAGTGATCACAATAGATCAGTAATGGTCGGAGTGATACTCTATAGCCGCAACAAAGAAATAAAAAAAATAAGAATCTATAACACTTGCTTACATACAAGTAAGATATGACAGTAATGAAAATTTTGATAGGTATGTAGATAAACCTATCAAAATTTACATCAGTATCATACCTTACTTGTATCACAGATCATATAATACTATAATAATACTTGTATGTAAGCAAGTGTTAAAGATTCTTATTTTTTTATTACTATTAAAAATAGAAAAGATTTGTATGTTTGTAACGAATAAACTCAAAAAGTACTAGACCGATTTAGATGAAATTTGGTAAAGAGATAGTTTGAGAACCTGGAAACGACATAGGATATTCTCTCGCTCTCGCTACCAAAATAATTGTAGATGTAATTATTTTGCTATAGTTTTAACTTATTCAAAAAAATTACAATTGGAATAAAAACTTCTTCATTTTTAAACTTGATCATTTCTTTCTAGAGTTAACTAATAACTATGTTTTTAGGCTGGTGGTATAGCGAGTGCAAGTGTCTGGTCATCATGTGGATGCCGACAAAGACTGCTGACAGCAGTCACAAGTGGAGGACGCGCCGTCCACTGGGCGGCGGTACCAGCGATACCAGGCGATAACACGGATTTGTGCCGATTTAATTATACGTAAGTGCTTCAAATTTCCTATATTAAAGGTGTTTTGATAATTCTATTGCGCTATGTGTATTCTAAATTTACTGGTGCTTTTCATTTTAGTCTGAACATAAATACTATAATGAGATGATTTTATTTCCCTTTCTTATTATTAGCCTTTACATCCATGCTTTATCTATATATATTATGTATGTATGGTACATCTAATATTATAAATGTGAAAGTTTAGATGTTTGGATGTTTGTTACTCAATCACGCCAGAACGGCTAAACGGATTTGGATGAAATTTGGCATAGAGATAGACTACAGTTAAAATAGCATATAGACTTTTAATCCCGAAAAGATGTAAGGTTCCCGTGGGATAAATTTGTTTTTGTTTGTCTAGAGGCTAACGCGAGAAATGCGAGGGTGAGCTGTAGTACCTCATATAAAGATTTCTTTAGAATAAATAAATAAAAAATAAATAAAAGGAATTTTTATTATAACGATTACATATGATGATAATCTATAAATATTAATTAACGCTACTTAAAAGGCTAAACAATGCAAGAATGCCAGACTAAAGTGTCTTGTCAAAAAGTAATTTCCATATAGTTTTCTACTAACGTAAACGATTTTAGAAAACGTCATCTTATCTAAGCCCTAGTACCAAATATAAAGTGCTTAATGAAAGTATTTCAATTTTAATGAGAAATGCGGAAAAAGAAAATTGTTCTGCATATTATTTTAATTTAAAATGTAATGCATATTGAATATTTCATTAAAATATCTTAGTAGGTAAAGTAGCTAATTCTAAAATATATTTAAGTATATAACTTATACTAAAGACACCCTCGTTTCGTTAAAGTGCGTCGCTGGTTGCCTAACAGTAGCCTATCTGTTACTCCAGGTCATAAGTAGTCTATATAATATGAACTAACTTACAGCGTGAAGTACAAACATAGACACGTACAAAGTTACAAGCTTTCACACCTTTAAAAATGTTTAATGTACACTTAATAATATGTGTAATTTCTACTTGAACTATACGTCGATATGTACACGTATGCTGTAGCAAGAAAGCTCCAGTCCCTCGCTGAAACTCAATGCCCTGATTATTTGGATGAAAAAATAATTAGAATACATGATTTTCCTGTACGTCTGTAATTAACAAAATCACGCTCTTATTTTTTTAATTTCATCATCACAGATTACATATAACGGTCACATTGCGGCGGTACTCTCCATTTCGTTGAATCTAATCCTGTGTACATTTTCATACATCGCTGTTATTATGTGTGACTCGTTCGTTTTAATTAATATGACATTCACCTTTTTTGAAACAAAATCATATTTCAAGATCGAATAACTAAAGAATTCTGGCGTTTGTTAAGCCCACTAATATTGAATTCAGCCCTTTTTAACGTCCCACTGGTGAGCACTGGCCTCCCTACTATACGAGGGGGATCATAGTCCACCACGCTGGCCAAGTCCGGGTTGGTGGACTGTGCATGTCTTTCGAAAACTTGCTAGGTTTTTTCAGATATGCAGGTTTCCTCACGATGTTTTCCTGCACCGTAAGGCACTTATTAGGGTAATCATGTTAGAAATTATTTGCACATGTAATTTTAAATGATAAATACCACTTAATGAATAAGAAACTACCAACCGGGATTTAGGTGCTTCTTGCTGAAAAACGAGCTTTTCAATTCGAGTGAAAGTTTATTTTGAACCAGTTATCCTGCTTTTTAGGCCGTCGGGGGCAATCATGTTAAAAATGTTACTCTCAGGATGATAAAATAATCTTAGGTGATATAGAAATTGTATAAGTTTTTAAATAATAATAATAACTTTTATCTAAAAAACTTACATAGTATTGTTTAGTAAATATATGACAAACGTGTATTAAAAACGAAGAGCTTCCAAAATATTCATTAAAAACAATAACGGCGATTACATATAAAATGTACGAGTAGATACTTTTTAAATAAAGTGTACTGTGCCATGCCACATTACCAGGTTATTTTTCACAAACCTCAACACAAATCTGTTCCGTGATTATAGACACGTTTCATGAAAGCCGTTACCAGCGATACCCGAGTAATAATCCAGTGAGCAGAATTGTAGTAATTAAATTTAATTACACTGAAAAGCATTAAAAATTGCATATTCCGTTATTATAAATCTACTGTAGTCGGATTCACGTAATAAGAATCGTTTTTGATGCTTCATTTGTTCTCAATTGAAAATATTTTAATGAGATTTTAAACGAAAACTTTACGGCGTCATCGTCTGCCCTCTATAAACAAAGAAAATATGTATATTGTGGGTCGTTAAACTTTATTTTTATAGCTTTCGATAATTAGTCCCTGAAAATTGCATTGTAAGAGTAATGGCCGAATAAAAAGTGACATTAAAATAAGCTCTAAGGTAATTAAGAGGAGTTTCTTTGAAAAATGTTAGAACGTTCCGGAAAAGCCACACTAATAAAGATGAACATTTTTTATTCACTCATGGCATTTTGTCTAGTGATTTAGTACGTTAAGTTATAGATGCACACTGCATATTATTATTCATTATCTTACACTATTTAGTATTCACTAGCTTTTACCCGCGGCGTCGCTCGCTTAGTTTATTTATGTACGATTTCTCTTCTCGTAAGGGTTGCTTGATTTTAATTAATAGCCTTTATATTCATTTTATATATTTTACTAGCATTGCCCGCGTCTCTGCCCGCGCTCAGATGACCAAAAACCAAATTCTTAGGTTTTATATATTAGTATACTCCTACATTGCAGTTTTTGTATATTTTCTCAGAAATGAGACATTTCCCTGCGGTAAAAAGTATCCTATACCGGCAATCCAACCGGGCGCGAAGCTAAGAAACGCACAGGGAGGTTGCCCACTTCGGTGGGCGGTGGGAGGTGGCCCTCTTTGGGGGGCGGTGTACCATGCGGGTTGCTCCTGGTACTTCTCTGATAGCAGAGTGGACTGTGGAGCAACCCCATGGTTGTGGTGGTCTGCTTCGGCAGACCTGCCGTCGGGGCGTCGTAGTTGAATGCGCAAGCGATCCTGCGACGCCCCATTAAGACGGGGGAAGGTTTTGTTGGGTTTTAGTGGGTAGTACTGGCTGTATTACGCCGGTGAGTCCCACACGTCGTGCGTTGCATTTCCCAACGTTAAAAAAAAAAAAAAAGACAATCAGCTATCACCATACCAAATTTAATCAAAATCCCTCCAGTCGTTTTTCTGTGATGTGGTAACGGACAGACAGACAGACAAAAAATCAAGAAACTATAGATTTGGTCGCTGTATCGATAATAATGGTTATTTCAACAGGATTTTCCAAAAAATATCTAATGTACAGATTCGGCTTAGTTAGAATTTTATTATATGTAAGATATTTATTTCTCACTAATTAATTTGCAAGAGGAATAACTTAAATGTCACCGGTAGTTGCAGAGATTTTTGCATTCAAAAAATATATTAAAAAACAAACTCTTCAGCTTTATAATATTAACAGTATATAGAGTGCACATAATAATATATTAATGTATAATTACAATAAAAGTAAGTTACCTAAGCCTTGAAGATTTTAAAAGGATTCCTGCATACATACGAAAGACAATACTAAAACAGACATTTTAAATATTAAAACCCAACTATGATAACTAATTGACGACAAGTTTAGCTCAGTTTGTAGTGAACCTACTTGCTTTGCCAGCGGTCGCGGATTCGATTCCCGCTGGAGGCTTTCATTTGAGTGATGAGAACGAATGTTTGCGCTCCAGTCATGGGTATTACGAGTAGTATTTATAATACGTATGAATTTAAAGTTATACATGTGTAGTGTATCAACTATTTGGTATCCGTAACACAAGCCTTATAGCTTACTATGGAACTAGATGGTGCTGTGTGTTAATATCCGACATATTTATTTATTAATTATCCACTACAATTTATGTGAGTGCAATAAAAATAATCAATACGAAAATATAAACATGATATATCGCCCAATACGTCCGCTTCAGAACGGAAACAAGATTATAGGAGTGATGAATGCGCCTCCCGGATCATAACGCGTACGATTGCACCCGTTTTGTTTATGTGGATGATTTATACCTCGTTAGTGGACTCATCCATAAAAAGTACAGCTTGTGAAATTCCACTAAATTAATTTCCGAAGTAATATTGAAAACTTCATTCTTTTTAAATTGTATGTAATGTAACATACATTGATTTTGCCTTTCATTATAGCTTTATAATAGTAAAATAATAAATATATTGGGATATTAACACATAGCACCATCTAGTTCCATGGTAAGCTACGAGGCTTGTGTTATTGATACCAGGTAGTTGATACACTACACATATAGAACTTTAAATACATACATATTAAAATGTAAACATCCATGACTGAAGTACAAACAGTGCTCATCACACAAAAGAATGCCCCCAGCGGGACTCGAACCCGCGACCGCTGGCATAGCAAGTACTACACTACAAACTAAGCTAAACGTGTCGTTATAGCTGTTATCTATACTTGTGAATCTCGTGTTATTTTTTATATGTGATTTTTAATGACTATCTCATATTCAGCTCGTATTGGATTCAGATAAAAATGATATTAATATGTTATTTTAATCCTGAAAGTGATAAAGTTCTTGTGTTATAAAGGGTAGGAACTACGACCATCTAAATTGATTTCAATGGAACTTCATTGACGAATAAAAAATTCGATTGATAACAAAACTTTTTTTCCCCAGATATATTAGCTACAGTAGCAAAGTTCGAGGAGGCTGCTAGTTTTATTTTATTTTATTATTTTTATGATTTTCTTATTCTTTTTATAAAGATAATTTTCTTTACAGACATAAAATAAAATATATCCAATTCTTCTTTCAACGTAAAAGCTTTACAGGATCATCATCTATACATATAATAAAATCGTAACTAAGCCGAATCTGTACATTGAATATTTTTTGGAAAATCTTATTAAAATAGACTTTATTATCGATACAGAGGCCGAATCT